CCGAGGTGGGGGGACCACCTGAGGTCAGGAGTTCAAGACCAGCCTGGCCAACATGGCAAAACCCCATCTTTACTAAAAATACAAAAATTAGCCAGTCGTGGTGGCACATGCCTGTATTCCCAGCTACTCAGGAGGCTGAGGCAGGAGAATTACTTGAACCCACGAGGCAGAGGTTGCAGTGAGTCCAGATCTGACCACTGCACTCCAACCTGTGCGACAGAGTGAGACACCATCTCAAAAAAATAAAATAAAAATAGGCTGGGTGTGGTGGCTCACGGCTATAATCCCAACACTGGGGGAGGCCAAGGCACGCGATCACCTGAGGTCAGGAGTTTGAGACCAGCCTAACCAACATGGTGAAACCCCGTCTCTACTTAAAATACAAAAATTAGCAGGGCATGGTGGTGGGCACTTGTAATCCAAGCTACCCAGGAGGCTGAGGCAGGAGAATCACTTGAACCCAGGAGGCACAGGTTGCAGTAAACCGAGATCATGCCATTGCAATCCAGCCTGGGTGACAAGAGCAAAACTCTGCCTAAAAATAAATAAGTAAATAAATAAAAATGAACATTTCTGGCTAGGCATGGTAGCTCACGCCTATAACCCAGCACTCCGGGAAGCCAAGGCGGGAGAACTGCTTGAGCACAGGAGTTTGAGATCAGCCTGGGCAACAAACTGACACTCCCATCTCTACCAAAAAAAAAAAAAAAATTAGATGGATGTGGTAGCATGTTCCTGTGGGTGCTAGTTACATGGAAAGCTAAGGCAGAAGGAATGCATGTGCCCAAGAGGTCAAGACTACAGTGAGCCATGTTGACGCCATTGCACTCCAGGATTGACAGGGCGAGACCCTGTCTAAAAACAAAACAGAACAAACAAAATAAATTTAAGACTGTAAAAAAAAAAAAAGACTGGGTGTGGTGGCTCACACCTGTAATCCCAGCACTTTGGGAGGCTGAGGCAGGCAGATCACGAGGTCAGGAGATCAACACCATCCTGGCTAACATGGTGAGACCCCTGTCTCTAATAAAAATACAAAAAAAAAAAAAAAAAAAAGCAGATCCAGGCCAGGTGTAGTGGCTCAACCCCTGTAATTCCAGCAATGTGGGAGGCTGAGGTAGGCAGATCACTTGAGGTCAGGAGTTTGAGACTAACCCAGCCAACGTGGTGAAACACCATCTCTACTAAAAATCGAAAAATTAGCCAGGTATGGTGGCATGCGCCTATAGTCCCAGCTAATTGGGAAGTTGAGGCATGAGAATTAGTTAAACCTGGGAGATGAAGTTTGCAATGAACCAAGATAGTGCCACTGCACTCCAGCCTGGGCAACAGAGTGAGACTCTGTCTCAAAAAAGAAAAAAGAAATGTAGATCCAAATGGAAGATGTATGCCATAAGATAAAAATTTTCATGGGTGAACGATATGAACAGACACTTTTCAGAAGAAGACATTAGTATGGCCAAAAAACGTGAAAAAAAAGCTCATCATCACTGGTCATTAGAGAAGTGCAAATCAAAACCACAACGAGGTACCATCTCATGCCAGATAGAATGGCTATCATTAAAATGTCCGGAAACAACATGCTGGAGAGGACGTGGAGAAACAGGAACACTTTTATACTGTTGGTGGGAGTGCAAATTAGTTCAACCATTGTGGAAGACAATCTGGTCATTCCTCAAGGATCTAGAACCAGAAATAGCATTTGACCCAGCAATCCCATTAGTGGGTATATACCCAAAAGATTATAGATCATTCTACTATAAAGACTCATACACATGTATGTTTATTGCAGCACTGTTCACAATAACAAAGACTTGGAACCAATCCAAATACCCATCAGTGATAGACTGGATAAAGAAAATGCACATATACACCATGGAATACTATGTAGCCATAAAAAAGGATGAGTTCATGTCCTTTGCAGGGACACGGATGAAACTGGAACATCATTCTCAGCAAACTAGCACAAGAACAGAAAAGCAGGTTCTCACTCATAAGTGGGAGTTGAACATTGAGAACACATGGACATAGGAGAGGAACATCACACATTGCGTTCTGTCAGAGGTGGGGAATGAGGGGAGGGATAGCATTAGGAGAAATACCTAATGTAGATGATGGGTTGATAGGTGCAGCAGGTCATCATAGCACATGTATACCTAAGTAACAAACCTGGACATTCTGCCCATGTACCACATAACTTAAAGTATAATTAAAAAAAGAAAAACAAACTTCAATCCTTGTTGGGCGTGGTGGCTCATGCCTGTAATATCAGTACTTTGGGAGGCCGAGGTGGGCAGATCACCTGAGGTTGGGAGTTCGAGACCAGCCTGACCAATATGGAGAAACCCTTCTCTACTAAAAATACAAAACTAGCCAGGCGTGGTGGCACATGCCTGTAATCCCAGCTACTCAGGAGGCTCAGGCAGGAGAATCACTTGAACCCGAGAGGAAGAGGTTGCAGTGAGCCAAGATTGAGCCATTGCACTCTAGCCTGGTCAACAAGAGGGAAACTTAGTCTCAAAACAAAACAAAAACTCAATCCTATTTTCTAAATTTAAAAAGGACTGTTGCTGAAATTTTCATCTTCCCTGATGATATTATAGTTCTATAAACCAATAAGAAGTTGTTTTTAAAGGGCACATCCAAAACCTAGTGTTTATTTTATTTTATTTTATTTTCAAAATCCAGTGTTTATATTAATTTGGAAGATTTTTAAAGCTAGTTAGAAAAATCTACCAAGTTTAAATGTATAGATATGAGTTATTTTTTTAATTGGTGACAGATGCTGTTTTTGCTAACAATCATATAACACTCCCTTAATAAATGCCCTCTCCATAATTTGACTTTATTTTATTATTTATTATTATAATTTTTTGAGACGGAGTCTCACTCTGTCACCCAGGCTGGAGTGCAATGGCGTGATCTCGGCTCACTGCAACCTCCACCTTCCAGGTTTAAGCGATTCTCTTGCCTCAGCCTCCTGAGTAGCTGGGATTACAGGCACATGCCACTGCACCCAGCTAATTTTTGTATTTTTAGTAGAGACACGGTTTCAACATCTTGGCCAGGCTGGTCTTGAACTCCTGGCCTCGTGATCCACTGGCCTCAGCCTCCCAAAGTGCTGGGATTACAGGCATGAGTCATCATGCCCGGCCAATTTGACTTTATTTTAAAGAGCAGGTTTTTAGTTGCAAAAAGGTGAAAATAGTAGTTTAATAGTCTTCTATTTGGGTTATGTATCTTAACAGCCAAGTTTGCTTGCTTGTTTGGGCTATATGTGGAGAGATGACATTGTTATCTTCACAGAAGAGAACTGAGTGTTGTTGGAATGGTGCCTTTTCGCTGTGTACACATTGTTGTATATATATTTATTTTGAAATAAACAGAAAAGAAAGACCAGCTGCTAGGTAGATGATATAGTACTGCTTGTCTTTTGATAAAGGAAAATCAATAACCAGTTTAAGTTTAGCTTTTTAAACTCTGGCATTGAGAGATAGAGCCAACCTGTGTTGTACAATTTTTTTTTTTTTTTTGCCACTACCTATCTTTATTACTGTGTTAAGATTTCTGCTATTAGGCCAGGTGCGATGGCTCACGCCTGTAATCCCAGCACTTTGGGAGGCTGAGGCGAGCGGATCACGAGGTCAAGAGATCAAGACCATCCTGGCCAACTGTGAAACCCCATCTCTACTAAAAATACAAAAATTAGCTGGACGTGGTGGCGTGCGCCTGTAGTCCCAGCTACTCAGGAGGCTGAGGCAGGAGAATTGCTTGAACCTGGGAGGCAGAGGTTGCAGTGAGTCGAGATCCCACCACTGCACTCCAGCCTGGTGTAAGACTGTCTCAAAAAAAAAAAAAGATTTCTGCTATTGAAAAACATTGCTTTGGCCAGGTGCGGTGGCTTGCACCTGTAATCCTAGCACTTTGGGAGGCCAAGGTGAGTGGATCACCTGAGGTCACGAGTTCAAGACTAGCCTGGCCATCATGGTGAAACCCCATCTTAAAAAAAAAAAAAAGAAAAGGAAAAGAAAATCATTGCTTTTAAAAAATTGACCACATTGGGCCAGGCTTGGTGGCTCACACCTGTAATCCCAACACTTTGGGAGGCTGAGGTGGGGGAGTCACATGGGTTCAGGAGTTCAAGACCAGCCTGGCCAACATGATGAAACCCCATCTCTACTAAAAATACAAAAATTAGCTGGGTATGGTGGCTCATTACTGTAATCCCAGCTACTTGGGAGGGTAAGACAGAAAAATTGCTTGAATCCAGGAGGGTGGAGGTTGCAGCGAGCCAAGATTGCACTACTGCACTCCAGCCTGGGCGACAGAGTTAGACTCTGTCTCAAAAAAATAAATAATAAAATTGACCACATTGATTAAATTCTGTAGCACACAAGTGACTACAGCCCTTGGAATACTTAGGGTTCCTCTGATACTCCATATGATACATGACTCTGGTATAGGGTAAAAGTGGATATGTCAAGTTGTTCTATATATTAAATGTTAGTGAAGCCTGCTTTCTTTCCTTTTTGGAAGTAAGGTATAAACATAATGAATAGTCACATATTTTCTTAAATTACTCCACGTTGGAGGTCATAACCTTAAACCATGTCCTAGTTTCAAGTAAAAAAGTAAACAAATTCTTGAGTCTACCTTAGCATTTACAACCTTACTAGTCTATGTAAAGATAGAGGAATGGGACTTAACGGTAATTCTGCAACATTCTCTATACTTCTGTAACTGTGCATAAGTTAATTTAAAAGAATATGAATAAGAATGTAGTAAACAGTGAATTAATTTAAAAGTAATGTCAATTATTTCATAGTTCAGAAGTATTCGATGTTCAGATTTTGTTTTTCAAGGACCTATAGGAAAAAGTATTGAAGTTCAGACTTTTAAAACAAATTCAGACTAGTCTTCTTCATTAATGGTTCAAGATAATTAACCTTTAATGTGTTTTCGTTACTTTGAGGTATTAACTTTTTTCCCCTGTGCTTAAGTAATAGGAGTGAAACATCTACATCTGATAACACAGAAACTTACCAAGAGAATACAAGGTAAGCTTTTAAAAAAATCCTGCCACTTTAGTAAATAATATTATATATTTATCACTTTATCAAATACCTTTTTAAATTAAACTTTCTTTTTTTCTTGTTTTTGAGATGAAGTGTTGCTTTGTTGCCCAGACTGGAGTGCCGTAGTGCAATCTTGGCTCACTGTAACCTCTGCCTCCTAGATTGAAGTGATTATCCTGCTTCAGCCTTCTGAGTATCTGGGATTATAGGTTCCTGTCACCATGCCTGGATAATTTTTGTATTTTTAGTGGAGATGGGGTTTCACCATGTTAGCCAGGCTGGTCTCAAATTCCTGACCTCAGATGGTCTACCTGCCTCAGCCTCCCAAAGTGCTGGGATTACAGGCGTGAGCCATCGCCCCTGGCTGTAAATTAAGCTTTTTTAAAAATTTCAGTTAAATCACTAGGCATGGTGTTTGAAGTTAGCAGTTTAGAAATAGAAAATGCAGTTACTGCTTTTAAGAATCACATTAGATTAAAACAGTTTAGCTATTCTCTTTCACTGTGGTCAGGTTTCTTCCACACATGATTCAGGTCAAGTTGTCCATGTTGAACTGTCCTTCCCTGAAATTCAGAAGTATTAGAACTCAGTTTCAAGGCCAGCCTGGCCAACATGGTGAAACCTTGTCTCTACTAAAAATACAAAAATTAGGTAGGCATGGTGGCACATGCCTATAATCCCAGTTACTCAGGCGTCTCCGGCATGAGAATCGCTTGAACCCCAGGGGTAGTGGAGGTTACAGTGAACCGAGATCGAACCACTGCACGTAAGCCTGGAGACAGAGCGAGACTCCGTCTCAAAAAGAAAAAAAAATCTGTATGATCCTCAGAATGTTTTCGAATAATTTCATTCTCATGATTAATGTTTTTGTTTTTTGCTTTTCCTTCGAATTCTGGATATTGGATTCCTAGGGCCTGGTATATTTTAGAGATATGATATTGATGGGAGTCTTTCAGAAGTTTTAAGTTCCTAGATAATAAGGTTTACAAAATGTAGAACATCACAGAATATTTAAAATTTTCAGGGGACATATAATGAAAGCTACTGGCATCACACAAATGACTACAATTATGTTTGTACCTAACTACATGATAAATGGAGCCAGCTAGGTTTTTGGTTTTGTTTTTGTTTTGGCCTAGAGGCACCATGAAAAAATAGTACTGAGGACACTAAGAGTACTATAAAATGAGATTGGGAACCTCTGTAATGCATCATTTGCTGAAAACATGAGAGACTCTTTGAATAGTCTAATAACTATAACTTTAAAAAAATTTATAGTGATTCCTCAAAAAATAGGAAAGCATTATTTTATGTTATGATTTTGAAATAAGTATGTTTCACTTAAAATTGTTTCACAGTTCTTCTGGTCATCCTACTTTTAAGTGTCCCCTGTGTCAAGAATCAAATTTTACCAGGCAGCGTTTACTGGATCACTGTAACAGTAATCACCTATTTCAGATAATTCCTGTGGTAAGTACATCTGTTTAAGACTGTCTTCTGCTTAGATTAAAACATGCTATTCCATTTATTTCACTTCATGTGTACAAGGGAAAGTAGTTGATTTATATGTGGTTGGGACATTATCAGTAAGGTAGATTTTTGTCAACAAAGGATTTATGACTGTGATGCAAAATGAGATATTTAAAACATAATTAAGTATCTCATTATAAAAAGAGAGATGCATATTGTGAGGTAATATACCACAGTCTCATTATAAAAAAGGAGATGTATAGTGTGAAGTAATATAGCACAGTCTGGAGAAGAGTGAAGTAATGAAAGATGAACTGGGAACTCATTCCTGAGCAGTAGCAGAACCTATCTGTTGGGGCCTCAGTTTCTTGCTCTGTAGATAGCAGACAAGTGGATCTAGTCAGGTAGATTGCTGCAGGTGAAAATACCTATAAGAATAAAGTCAGTAGGTATTTTTATTGTATTCTTGCAGAATCTAGTATGTGAATACATAAAGCAAGGAAAGAAAAGACTCGGACTTTGTTTTTTGATGTGTGCATATTTTTCATAACATTTTGAGGTTATGTAAGAAAGTGGTGAGAGCAGCCTGGGCACGGTGGTGCACGCCTGTAATCTCAGCACTTCAGGAGGCAGAGGCAGGTGAATCACTTGAGGTCAGGAGTTTGAGACCAACCTAGCTAACATGGTGAAACCTTGTCTTAAAAAAAAAAAAGAAAAGAAAAAGAAAATGGTTCAAGCTTTTTGGTAATGAGGAAGAAAGAGCAGAATGCAGTATTCCAACATTTAATGATCCTAGAAGTGTTTCAGAGCTAAGTTATTTGAAATGAATGGAACAGGAGAAACCGAGCTGGGAGAGATTTCCCTTTCAGCTGAACATTTTGATATAAAAATATTGTCTTCAGAAGGAAGAATAGGAAGGGAAATGTAATCAAGAACTGTAGATATTTCTAAGCTATTTTAGTGAATATGCTAGGAAAAGTCGTGACAAAATATGCTTCAGGACCAGGCACAGTGGCTTACAGCTGTAATTCCAGCCCTTTGGGTGGCCGAGGTTGGGGGAATCACTTGACCTCAGGAGTTTGAGACCAGCCTGGCCCATATAGTGAGACGCTGTCTATTTAAAAATAAAAAAAATAAAAAGAATATGCTTCAGTAACCATTGAGGATGACCTTAAACTGTCACATACCACATAGAATGGGTTCGGTTATACTTAATAAACAAGTACAATGCTAAAGAAGTCTCTAGGAAATCTCATATTTAAGATTTTATTGGCGGGGCGTGGTGGCTCACGCCTGTAATTCAAGCACTTTAGAGGCCAAGGCGAGCGGATCACCTGAGGTCCGGAGTTCAAGATCAGCCTGACCAACATGGTGAAACCCCGTCTTTATTTATTTAAAAAAAAAAAAATTAAAGTATAAAAAAAAGAGATTTTATTTACTTTTATATTGGATTACCAAATTCTTACTCATTTCTGCATAATATTCGATATATCATAAACTTTGACTAGAGTTCAGTTACTAAAGTTTGTGTGTGTGTGTGTGTGTGTGTGTGTGTGTGTGTTTGTGTGTGTGTGTGTCATTTTAGTTATGTTAGACATTCACTTTTTTTTTTGAGGCGGAGTTTTGCTCTTATTGCCCAGGCTGGAGTGCAACTGCAATGGTGCAATCTCGGCTCATGGCAACCTCTGCTTCCTGGGTTCAAGCAATTCTCCTGCCTCAGCCTCCCAAGTAGCTGGGACTACAGGCGTGTGCCACCACGCCCAGCTAATTTTTGTATTTTTAGTAGAGATGGCGTTTCACCATGTTGACCAGGATGGTCTCGATCTCTTGACCTCATGATCCGCCTGCCTCAGCTTCCCAAAGTGCTGGGATTATAGGCGTGAGCCACTGCGCCTGGCCTTACATTCACTTTTTAAGATGGTACTTCATTTAAAAGTAAGGATATGGCCGAGTGTGGTGGCACACCCCTTTAATCCCAGCACTTTGGGAGGCCAAGGTGCGAGGTTTGCTTGAGCCTAGGAGTTTGAGACCCAGCCTAGACAATAGCGAGACCTTGTCTCTATTTTTAAAAAACGAAGCCAGGTGCAGTGGCTCACGCCTGTAATGCCGGCACTTTGGGATGCCGAGGTAGGCCTATCACGAGGTCAAGAGATCAAGACCATCCTGGCCAACATAGTGAAACCCCACCTCTGCTAAAAATACAAAAATTAGCTGGGCGTGGTGGCATGTACCTGTAGTACCAGCTACTCGGAAGGCTGAGGCAGGAGAATTGCTTGAACCCGGGAGGTGGAGGTTGAAGTGACCCAAGATCCTGCCACTGCACTCCAGCCTGCGAGACTCTGTCTCAAAAAAAAAAAAATAAAAAATTTAAAAAAATGAAAAACTGAGGATTTTAAATTTAATTTTCCAGTTTACTTCATTTTTATTTTACTTATAAATGAAATAAAGCTCATAATAATTATTACTGTACAGATCAAATGAGATAATATATTGGGTATGTTGCAGGCAGCCAGTTAGTGATAACTATCATTACAGTTAGTTTTATGAAAAGCTAGATGTGGTGTTTCTGTTGAAACATTTGTGTAATAAGAGATTTAAGGAATATCCTGAAATACCACAGGGGGGATAAAAAAAAAGATTTAAGGAATAGAATGTCTAAGATCGCTCTTACTGTGTTAATGTCATTTATCTAAAGTAATTGATTGGGAAATTATCTAGTAATTGAAGTTGGCTTTTAAAAATGCTTCTCAGCCAGGAGTGGTGGCTCATGCCTGTAATCCAAGCACTTTGGAGGCCAAGGTGGGCGGATCACCTGAGGTCGGGAGTTCAAGACCAGCCTGACCAACATGGTGAAACCCCGTCTTAAAAAAAAAAAAATGCTTCTCACGTAGATGTTTTTGGTAATGTATGTCTGTTATTTTAATACTCTCAATTGTGTAATATTTTGTTTTTCTTATTTTTTGTTTAAAACAATCTGTTTCTTATAGACATGTCCCATTTGTGTGTCCCTTCCTTGGGGAGATCCTCGCCAGATAACTAGAAATTTTGTTAGTCATCTAAATCAGAGACATCAGTTTGATTATGGAGAATTTGTGGTAAGTGAATTCTTCAAGATTAGGAAAGTACCGTTTAAATATTCAAGTTAAGTAACTTTTTGAAATCTAACTTTGAATTTTGTGCCAAGCTATTCTATCTTACTCGATGGATTTAGTGCAAATTCTTTGGTTTTTAATAATATTGGTGAACTTTAGCTTGTAGAAATGGTAAAAATTGAGTTTACTTTCTACCTTCTGTATTAGAGAGAGAGTTAATAGAGGAACAGCAAGCACCTAGATTAACAAAATGATTTACATGAATATACTGTCTAGATTTAAGAGAAAATTGTACCTACAAGAAAAGTGAAATTGATATAACACATGGAGGATATATTTCTCATGTAGCGTAAGTTCCTTTTATCTATGCTAGAAATCTTAGATTTCTCACATCTTAAATGTAAGACACATGCTTTTTAAAAATGAGGGAGCTTAGTTATCAGATAAAGCCAGGTTACAAAGAGACAATATTTAAGAGTGTAAGGGAAGTTATATAATGTAAAAATGAATTCATAAAGCAAAATAGATTAATTTCTATTTCCAATTGTGTGTGATGTAGTTTTTTAATTAGGTGAAAACTTTAATTAATTCTGAAATTGCATATTATTCAACTTTAGTTTAATTAAAAACCCTATTTAAAATTAGTCCTGATGAAGAATGGCTATTTGTTTTCCAGTTCAGGTAAGCACAGTGATACGAACAAAATCTACATTGTTGTCTGCCTTCCATTGTTGGAATTACATCATTCTTGTTAAATGGTTTTAAATTTTTTAGAATTTGCATTTAGCCTATTTCAAAATAAATATATATAAAATATAGGTGTGCTTTATTGTTTTAGTAATTTTATGAAGTAATTCTAGATTATTATTAAATTCTCATTGTGAGAAAGATTTCTATGTCTAGACAAATGTATTTGGAAATACAAAGACTTGTGAACCACTTTTGATCTAACTGTCAAATTGTTTTACCTTGCCATAGAAAAGTAGGTAATCATTTGAGATTGTCATATTGAGGCCTTGACTTTAAAGCAAAACTCATCAGGCATAAAATTGATAGCAAATACAATTTTTAAAATTAAGGATAAGTTTTATAACTTCATGTTATAGTTAACAATTTATTACTTGGCTGGATGCGATGGCTCACGCCTGTAATCCCAATATTTTGGGAGGCCGAGGCAGGCCGATCACCTGAGGTCAAGAGTTTGAGACCAGCCTGGCCAACATGGCAAAACCATGTCTCTACTAAATATACAAAAATCAGCTGTGTATGGTGGTAGGTCCCTGTAATCCCAGCTACTCAGGAGGCTGAGGCACAAGAATCACTTGAGACTGGGAGGTGGAGGCTGTGGTGGGCCAAGATTGCTCCACTGCACTCCAGCCTGGGTGAGAGCCAAACTCCATTTCCAAAAAAAAAAAAAAAGAGAGAATTTATTATTCAGCTCATAATTCAATAAATGCATGTTTTCTTAAAATCAGTTTACTGTCAGATATTATTTGGCATTATTTCTAGAGATGACACATTTATGATTGTGTGTGATGATTAACTTCAGTTGTATTTTTCATTTTTTAATCTTTATTTTTTAAAGAGACAGGGTCTCCCTGTGTTGCCCAGACTGGCCTCAAACTCATAGTCTCAAACTGTCTTCTGCCTTAGCTTCCTGAATAGCTGTAACTACAGGCACATGTGTACTCAGATTTTTTTCTCTACTGATCCTCTCTATTGTTTGTTATTCCTGAACAGTTACAACTGAACTTAATTTTTTATTAAATTTCAGATATTCAAATCTTGTATCTTAAAAGATACCATTATGTATGTTGTACATAACTGTCCTAAGTGTGTGTAATGTGTATCAAGATATCTAATGTATTGGGCAAAATATTGAGTAGTTGAGTATGTTTGTTTTTCCTGTTGACATGTAATGTTACTGTTTTTAGAATCTTCAGCTAGATGAAGAAACCCAGTATCAAACTGCTGTTGAAGAATCTTTTCAAGTAAACATCTGAAGGCTGTAGACGCCTCTGCATCTTTGTACCTGCAAGTGCCATCCTTAGGGGAAAACTACATGTAGTCACCGTTTCAGTAACTTGATGTGTATATTAATAAAAGTAATTCCATCATTTTAGGTTTTGATTGAAAATAAAGGCGAGGCTTCTAAAAACTTCATCCTCTTGATAAGTTAAAAAATGAAAGTTATGACATTAGCTTTAAAAGCGTAAAAAAAGATATTTCACTAATGTAATGGTGAAAGAGAATCCCTGTTGTACTTTATCTTTTTGTAATACTAAATATTCTTGAATTTTTCATTATGTTGCTTTTGAAATTTGGTGCATTCCTCCCATTTACTTTATTATTGTACACAGATAACACACAGTAGCAAATTTTGAACAGTGTGATTGATATAAACCTAACAAATCTGAGCCAGTTATTAGAGTTGCAGAGTAGAAACTTGAAGTGCTAAATGGAATAATCCAAAGGAAATTTTTAAAATGCAGATTCTAGCTGAAAAATTCAACTATAAGAAAATTGTATTTATATAACATTTACTATTTTTGAAGACTAGTGAGAGTTCTGTAATAATTTTAATTCTTTAAAAAGTGAAAGCTTGTAAAGATATTTTGTTTTTGTTATTAGAAGGAAATAATGAGAAAAATTTATTTCTTTCATGGGCATTTGTTAATTTCAGTCTTACTTTGACTGATTTGTAAGCTTGGAATTTACTAAGCTGAATAACAGCTCGTTAGCCTCAGAATTTTCAATAGCCAGTATTTCTGATTAACTAAGTTGAAACTTTTATTAGAAACTTTCAGTTGGTGATACTGTATTACTGTACTCTACAAGATACAAATGAGAGATTTGGCTTCATCTCAGTTTAGAAATTTATTCAAAGCTAAAGATGTATATGTATGTATACATACACTTGTGTGTGTATATATATATATTACACACATGTATGTATGTATGCAGTTTGTCAGGTTATATATAGAATTTCTATTAAGGGTTTTTAAAATGGACAAACAATGGGGGTTGAAGTGTTTACCTGATTTGTTAAAATTTTGTATATCACCAAATTTTTAAAAAGTAACAGTCACATTGCTCAGTGATCTAGTTGGCTGCTATTACACCTTAAAAATTGAGTTTACACACACAATTATCTGTTTATATGGTGCTCATTTGTTATTCTCAAATTTAATGTGTGACCATGATGTAGTGAGAAAGATTCTACCAACCATTCTGTTTCACTACTTTTTAGTAAAAACTGGGTTTGTTCTTAGTATTCATTAATGAGAATTATAAAGTATTTTGTAGAAGGCCCAAATCACAGAATAAAGGACGAATAGTAGATTCACTGGCATTCCATACTAATAATAAATTGTTTATGCTTTCTTTAAAATTACTAAAAGAACATAAAAGAGAATCTCAGAAGTAGTTTGCTGCTAATATATACATATATTGTATAAAAAAGGTATATTTTGGTTTTGTTAAAACCCTTCTTGACTTTTCTACACTGAACATTTTTTTAACTTGATTTAATAAAAACGTTAATTTTGGAAGTGGAGTTTTGTAAAAACCTTTTTCAATCAAACAGTAATGACTTTATTTATGGATTATAATAACAACCACAAAAAAAGCCATATGTCTTAATGAACATATGCCTTTGTTTTGTTATTTTATAGGGTGATGTTTACTATGTATGTGCTTGAGCATTTTCTCTGCAGTTACATGGGTGTAATTTTAAAAACAGGTCCTTTTAAAGAGACTTTTGACCATAGTTTTTTCCAGTTTAAAGCAATAACTTTCATAGTTTCTTTCAAAGTTTAATACATCCAATATGTTAAGTTAAACCATTCTGGGATTTGGGAACTTCTTTAAAGGAAAATTGTAGTAGAGGTCATCTTGATGGAATTGTGTTTTGAAGTTTTGTGAATGAGTTAAGTATCACTGGTAGTTTTGTGTGTCTCACATATCAGCTTTTTCATAAGGAAAATACTGACTTTGTTTGCTTTTATCTGGGAATTTCTCAATATGATTGTTTAAAATTTCCCCTTCTTTTGTTAGTGAGTTGGGAATAGGGATAGACTTTACAGATTTAATTTATGGAAATTAAATTTATGGGGAAAAGTTCTTATTTTTAATACTGCTTATAGCTGAATCAGGATTAAAGGAGGGAAACTGTATTGATACTCCAATACCTTAATTTCACAGTACCACTTAGGAAAACGATTTCAACAAATTACAGTTTATGTTGTTAAACAGTCTTATTTGAGATGTATTGCTTTATTTTTAAATTAAAAGTGGTTTTCTCCTACTTGTGTGTCTAATTAAAATTTTGTCTGGAGGCAAACATTTAACTCATAACTCACCCTGAAAGACATGTAGGAGATAACCCATTATTTTGCATTTAAAAAAGGGATACGAAAAAGCTGCTACCACAAACTGGTGCTATATGTCAGATTCAACTTTATAAACCTATTTTATTTATTTCAAATGTTAATCACTGTAAAAGCAATTTTATGAAGTGTCCATGTAGCAAGATTTTCAAGCCCTGTTAGCAGCTAGGCAGAAAGCTTATTAATTGCTTAATAGACACTTTAAGATGGAGAAATTACTTTTAAGTAAGGTATCAGGGTTATAAGACTATATTGCCAAATGTATTGTCATATACCTATGGGCTGCTTGTTAAGTATTAATTATGATATTCAGTACATCATAACTTTTACAGAAACCCCTTACAACTGCTACTCAAATCCTTTGTAGAAGCGTGACTTTTTAGCATACTATGTAGAAAAGGTGTGACCTAGAAAACATAAATACACATACTATAAAAACTCAGACATAAAAGTAAAGCTCTCATTCCATGATACCACTTAGTGTGTAATGTAATTCTCTGTGCCATACAGTTTTGAAAAAAGATGGGGAAGGGAGGTGAGTTAAAGATGGATATAGGATTAATACACTCAGCATTTCTCAATTTAACAAAAAAGGGATACAGGAATCTAAGGAAAATGGGTGTTACAGCCTGTCTCCCCACTTCAACAGCAGTGGTCCCATTCTGGGATTTAGAAAGATGAAATATGCTGCATTCTTCCCCCAAGATGAGTAAAATGGGTGTATTCTGTTGTGTACTTTATTGACAAACAATTTAAACTATATTGTACAAGGTCCTGTATAACGAATTCTTCCAGCCTGGGCAACATATACCCCCATCTCTACAAGTAATCAAAAAATTGGCCTGGTGTGGTGGTGTGTACCTGTAGTCCCAGCTACTCAGGAGGCTGAGGTGGGAGGATGGCTTGAGCTGGGGAGGTTGAGGCTGCAGTGAGCCATTATTGTGCCACTGTACTCCAGCCTGGGTGACAGAGTAAGAGCCTGTCTGAACAAAACAAAAAAAAAAACGAATTCTTAAGATTGTAATAGTGAAAGATGTACTGTAGAATTTAAGACAAGCAAGGCAGGGGAATAAATATGGAAGACTGGTAATCAGATGAGTCACAGCCATTTGGTGGAGGAAACAGAGAAGACGACAATAGGATGTGAGGGAGATTTCATATTTGTCTAAATGGGCAATAATGGTACATGATACTGAAAGTGCACAGAGTGAACAATAACCTAAAGTAATCCATGCTCAGATCAAGAAAAAACACCTAGAATCTCCTTAAATCCTCGTTTCTACTTCCAGTCACAGCTAACTACTATCATTATGTAACTTCTAATACCACACATGGATTTGTGGTAAGTGGAAGCACATGGTAAATATTTTATGTCTGGCTTTTATAACATTGAGATTTTTCTGCTTTTTTTTTCTTGTGTTTACAGCAGCAGTGACTTGTCTTATGTCCAGAACAGAAAAGCTTAGTCTTCTAAAGTTACATTTTAATATTGGTAAAAGTTGTATTAAATGTATTACAAGTGATTATGTATGTTGGCACCTAGGGATGCCAAATGTACGTAAAAATAAAACAGGCTGGTCTTCCCCTCATAACAGGAAGGAATTGAAGAGTCTAGCTAAATGGCCTTCCGCTGCTCTTACCTGACTTTCCATGAGCTGTGTGTGGGATGTTTTATCTTTTCAGTGTTTCACTATTACTCAGGCTGGTGCAATCACTGCAGTGGTGCAATCTCTGCTCACTGCAACCTCCGAATCCCAGGTTCAAGCGATTCTCCTGCCTCAGACTCCTGAGTAGCTGGGATTACAGGTGTGCACGAGTTTCACCATGTTGGTCAGGCTGGTCTCAAACTCCTGGCCCCAAGTGATCTGCCTGCCTTGGCCTCCCACAGTGCAGGGATTATAGGCATGAGCCACCACGCCAGGCCTGGATTTTTTTTTTTTTTTTTTTTTTTTTTTTTCATTTTTTGAGATGGAGTGTCACTCCACTGCCCAGTCTGGAGTACAGTGGCGTGACTTCGGCTCACTTCAACCCCTGCTTCCCAGGTTCAAGTGATTCTCCTGCCTTAGCCTCCCAAGTAGCTAGGATTACAGGCACGTGCCACCACACCTAGCTAATTTTTGTATTTTAGTAGAGACGGGTTTTCGACATGTTGGCCAGGCTGGTCTTGAACTCCTGACTTCAGGTGATCCTCCCACCCTGGCCTCCCAAAGAGCAGGAATTATAGGCATGAGTCACCCATGCCCTGCCTCAGCCTGGATGTTTTCTTTTCAAGGCATTTTTTGTAGGCATAAGATTTTATTTTTCTATTTTATTTTTTGCTAGGCTCCTTCAAATCATAGGAAGTGACATTTTAATAAGTATTTAAAGACTATATTTTCTGGGATAGGGTCTGAAGCCACTAATAGAAACAAAAGGGGTTGCAGCAGATATACAGAAGGGGTTTTGGGTAGATCTTTACCAGAAGACCAAGCATTTAAAACAACTGAGCCTACTTTCTTGGACAAGACAGTCTGGTTTTGATGATTCTGCTGGTTGCTACTCATTAACATTTGTAATGGAGAGTAACTTGCAAAAACATTCAGGAGATCTCTCAAATATCTAGATGAAGGGAAGACAGCTAGATTGTTCCTATCTGCATCGGCATTGAATCTATTGTAGGTTATTTTGCTTGAAGGATATGAAGATAATTAATCTTATTCAGATAATGTTGTTGGAAAAGGGAGGAATATTTTAGTAGCCTTTAAAAAAAGAGGCCCAGAATGGTGGTTTACACCTGTAATGCCAGCACTTTGGGAGACCGAGGTGAGCAAATGGCTTGCACTTAGGAGTTTGAGACCAGTCTGAGTAATGTGATAAAATCTTGTCTCTAGAAAAAATAGACAAAAATTAAATGGGTGTGGTGGCGTGTGCCTGTAGTCCCAGCTACCTAAGACGGCTGAAGTGGGAGGTTCTCTTGAGCCCAGTGAGGTCGAGGTTGCAGTGAGCCATGATTGTGCTACTTACACTCCAACCTGGGTGACAGAGCAAAACACTGTCTTAAACAAAACAACAACAAAAACAAACAAACAAACAATTCCAGAAAATGTTGGCTGGGCCTGGGCCCAGTGGCTCATGCCTGTAATCCCAGCACTTTGGGAGGCTGAGGCAGGCAGATCACAAGGTCAGGAGATCAAGACCATCCTGGCCAACATGGTGAAACCCCGTCTCTTTAAAAGAAAAGAGGGTTGGCTGGGTATTCTTACATACTACATCAAAACCACAACCTCCCGAACAAATAGTAACTTCTTAAAAGTTAGTTATAATCTGAACCATATCAAACTTTGTGTACACTTAACAGGAAAATCCATAGATAAATCTTGTATTCAAATGAATCTTTTAGCATGATTGCATAGCATTATGTAGTAGTCAGTCAAAAGATGGTTCACTGAGTTACGGAGATCTTCTAAATATTGACTCACTTTTTATACTATAGCAATTATTTTAATATCACCATTGATCTCATCAGTCTTTAAAAATTGGGAAGCTGGCCGGGTATGGTGGCTCATGCCTATAATCCAAGCACTTTGGAGGCCAAGGCAGGTGGTCGGGAGTTCAAGACGAGCCTGACCAACATGGTGAAACCCCGTCTTTAAAATAAAAAAAAAATTGGGAAACCAGGAAGCTTACAAAATTGTGATTTTTGTTTAAAATCTCAAATTTTATCTTTGACAACAAATGGTTGTTTCCTTGAAGTATTATGACGATTTCCTCCCTCCAAATACCCACATCTAAATATTTTGCCAGTCACTTAAGTAAAAGTGGCCATGCCGTGAGATAAAACAAGTTGGTTGAGCTCATAACTCAATATAATTTGCACAAGCATATTTTCTTGAAACAACCATTGTATCTCCTTATGCAGGAAATGTGCTTTGTGTGTCTTCCCCATTTTGTTTTCCAGAATATTAAAAAAAGACTTGTACTTAAGGGTCAAAATTTTATTTTTTAATTCTTTTTTGAGACAGTTTTACTCTGTCACCCAGGCTAGAGTGTGGTGGCGTGATCTCGGCTCACTGAAACCTTCAACTTCTGGGTTTAAGCGATTCTCATTCCTCAGCCTCCAGAGTAGCTGGGATTGCAGGCACATGTCACCACGCCTGGTTAATTTTTTTTGTATTTTTAGTAGAGATGGGGTTTTATCATGTTAGCCAGGTTGGTCTTGAACTCCTGACCCCAAGTCATCCACCCGCCTCGGCCTCCCAAAGTGCTGGGATTATATGTGTGAGCCACTGCGCCGGGCCGGTCTTGTTACTTGTTACTGGTTTGTTGAAGTTTTCTATTTCTTCTTGATTCATTCTTGGTAAGTTATATATGTCCAGGAATTTATTCATTTCTTCTAGGCTTTTCAATTGTTGGCATATAGTTGTTCATAATAATCTCTAATGATTCTTTTTCTGAGGTCTCAGTTGTTATGTCCCTTTTTTGTTTCTCATTTTATTTATTTGGATCTTCTCTCCTTTTTTCTTAGTCTAGCTAAAGGTTCAGTGATTTTGCTTATCTTCGGAAAACAACCTTTTTGTTTTGTTGACCTGTATTTTCTTTTTTTAAATTTTTATTTATTTTTTATTTTTTAAAAAATTGAGATAGGGTTTCACGGTGTTGGCCAGGATGGTCTCCATCTCTTGACCTTGTGATCCACCTGCCTCGGCCTCCCAAAGTGCTGGGATTATAGGCATGAGCCACCATGCCCGGCCTGTATTTTCTTTTAGTCTCAATTTATTTATTCTGCTCTGATCTTTATTACTTCTACTTTTAGGTTTGGTTTGCTCTTGCTTTTCTAGTTCCTTGAGGTGCATTGTTATTTATTTGAAGTCTTCTACCTTTTTTTTTTTTTTTTTTTTTGAGATGGAGTTTCACTCTTGTTACCCAGGCTGGAGTGCAA